GGAAAGGAAAGGAAAGGAAAGGAAAGGAAAGGAAAGGAAAGGAAGGGAAGGGAAGGGAAGGGAAGGGAAGGGAAGGGAAGGGAAGGGAAGGGAAGGGAAAGGAAAGGAAGGAAGGAAAGGAAGAAGGAAAGGAAAAGAAGGGAAGGGAAGGAAGAAGGGAAGGAAAGGAGAGGAAAGGGAAGAAGGGAAGGGAAAGGAAAGGAAAGGAAAGGAAAGGAAAGGAAAGGAAAGGAAAGGAAAGGAAAGGAAAGGAAAGAAGAAACAGGTGGATAAGGAACTACTCACATTCTTGAAGCCTCTATAGAGGGACTGGAGTTCCTTTTTGGTGAATTTGGTTCGAAGTTGGAGCTGGTCCAGTCCTTCGGGTTGATGTCGCATGGCCGAAAGCTCCAACTCGCTGTCGCCATTGTCTGTAAAAAGAAGCCAAAATGGCAACATTTACGCCCACTTAACAACTTTCTCACTCAGCAACATAAATGTTCGCCCACAATCGTCGTCGTAAGTTAAGGACTACCATACTGCTAATCCTCGACTTACGACCCCAATGCAGAGGACCTAGAAAAGAGCGCAGGGAAGAGCAGGGAAGATGGCGAAGGGGCTTGGAGGCTAAATCCCACTCAGACCCCACCCAAAGAACCGAGTGTTTTCTTAGCTTAAATGAAAGAAGACGTGAGACCAGTCAAAGGGTTTAAAAAGTGGCCTTTATTCTCCACAGTTCTTAAAGGAAAGACAAGAACCAACTGTGGGGAGCCCCTCCCCCTCCTAAAAGAATAAAATATTCCTATGGTCTTTTAGAGTTGCCATTACAAAGGGAGGGGGGGGGAGAAAGGGGATTTGAAAGAGCAGTGCGGCAGCTTGGAAATGGAAAGCGCATTCCATAAATGTTTTCAAAGATAGCAACTAGGTGACTGAAGTTTCTGCTGCTGGTATTGCCCTCAAGGTGAAAGGGCACGTTCAAATGGTCTGGCTGGGGACTCTGGGCCCAGGAGTCCCAAGCCAGCTGGGAAACGTTGGATAATCGACAGCTGTTCTGACCCAAACCCGGTTCCAAGGAAGCAAACACGAGACAAAGATAACAGCACAGTCATGTTTCTTTACGTATCCCATTCCTTCCTGGGTGAAAGGCTGCTTCAAACCAATTAGCTCTGATAAGAAAGAGCCTTGCCAAGGTGCTGCAAGGCTGCCAAGAACCCTAGATAAGGTTACTAAGCAATAATTCCAACACAAAACGTCTCCAAACACAAACCAAGATAGTCCGAATTTCCAAAGGCTTGAAGTGCAAGAACTTCGTTGCTTCCTGCAAAGAATCCCGGTCTCTCAGGCTGACTTTTATCCCTTAAGGGAGGGGCCATTACCTTGCAGCCTTACTCCTGAGTTGCCCGTGCTGCTGCAGCTGCTCTTTCTTTCGAGCAGCCCTGCGTGCACACACACTTGGCACAGGCTCCTCAGGGTGCTCTTCCTCATTGCTACCAGCCTCCACAATCTCCGAAGGCAGCACTCCAGTCCCTGATGGTCGTGGCCCCATCCCTGCATCCCACGCGGGTCCCTCATCTGAGTCCTCCCTCTCCGAAACCTCGGCCATCTGCACCTGCGGCCGGTGAACCACAACAATGGCTGCCATGACACGAGGCATTCCCTTATTCTTTGAAGAGTCACCGAATGTAACTTCAGCACCCCAAAAAAATCTCTCCGTTGCAACCAACCACGCTGACCCCTGGGTTCCTTGGCTCTGTCCAGGATCTTGTGGTTTGAGGTACTGGATGCTGGCGTAAGAGATCGGTCAAATACACCGACCTGCAAGCCGGATGTTGGGCCGAGAAAGGACCTTCCCGTCCTGACTCAGCAGAGACATCTTAATGCCATTGTGAGAAGAAATATCCATTTGGTTCCGTTCCAAGCTGGGAGGAAGACGCTGGAAACATGGAGGCCGATTGGAAAAGATGGTTTAAGGATGACACAGAACCACATGGGTTTGAGGTCCTGGGCAACTGACCACATGGAGTGGAGAGTGAGAGGGTTTTTTTTTTAATACCTTCTCTTGGGCTTTGCACTTGAGCTTCCTGTTCCTGTGGAAGAACATTCTATTCTATTGGCTGTTGTCAGACTCCCACGGGGCTATGTAGGGGTCAAGTTTGTCTGAGCTAAGTTTGGTTGAAGTTTGGACTGCTGAGGCAATGAAGGGGCTTGTTGGGCAATTCCTATTGTAGCTGAGGGCTAATCCTATCTTTGTTCAGACCTTGCTGCAGGGAACTTTGCTTATGAATAGAGCTACCTAGATCCTTCTTTCAATAAGCCTTTCTATCTCTTAAGAGCTGACCTCTGCCCAGGGCTATTAAGAAAGGTGGAGGCTGCTTTCTGCCTCCAAGAACATGTTTCTCCATTTCTCCCTTTAGGGGAATATAATATTCTGCCCTTTTTTAATATTCCCTGCAACGTTTCATTCTTCTAGGAGAGGGCTGGGTGGTGCTAACTTTTTCTACACCATCCAGGCTAAGCCAGATTCACCGCTGTGCTTTTCCTCACCTTAAGGCAATCTCGGTTTGACGGATTTATGACCGTTGGGGTTCTTTTTTAAATTATTGTTATCATTACTTTCCCCAAACACGATCGTTGGCTTCTGGGCAAGGGCAGAGCAAGGCATGACACAGCAGAGGGTCCAAGGCCCACCTGAGCTTTGGACGAGAAAGGCTGACTTGGCCCCACAGAAGCTGGTTAGGCAGGATTCTGGGGGTCCCAGGTGCTCCCCCACTTCTCTTGGGGGGGGAGAATTCTCTCCTCTTTGCTTTTTCTCCTTCCCCTCCCTCCCTCTTTCTATTTCTCC